TACTGAGAACCCCAGCACCTCACCTTACTTAGAACCCCAGCACTGACCTTACTGAGAACCCAAGCACTATAAAATGTATTTTTTGTGAATATTTTTGTGTTTCTCGAATGGATTAATTGTATTTCCATTATTTCTTATGGGAAATATTGCTTCAAATTTCAGACTTTTTGAATTTAGAACTAGCTCCTGGAACGGATTAATTTCGATTTTTGAGGTTCCACTGTAGCTTGTCATTGGGCTTCTCTCTTCTTCTGGGGAAGTAACTTGATAGCGGTTCAGCTTGTTGAGACTTCCCTGAAGATTCCACACATCAAAATGTTTGGGAGTTATTATGAGGACGTCGTCCACATAACGTAACCAGTTGATGCTGGTGGGGTGATGTTGATGAAGTGTTCAGCTTCCAGGTGCTCCATATACAAGTTAGCTAAGATGGCATAGATAGGGGACCCCATTCCCATACCATAGGATTGTTTGTAGAGCCTTTTTATTAAAAAAAAACCAATCAAAATTAATGCAGAGATCAATCAAATCAACAAAATCCTTGGATGTAGAGGAAGGTTAAGGTCCTGATTAATCGACTTTATGTTCTAGAACGTCAATGGCTTGTGTGGTGGGTACTTTAGTGAAGAGAGAAGTCACGTCCAAACTACTTAGTTTCTTGTTTCGGATGGAGAGGTTTTTGATATGGTTGAGAAGGTTGCCTGAATGCTTAAGATGAGTGGGGCTGATGGTCCCTAGAAGGCAGGAAAGATGTTTGGCAAGAACTCCGGCTAGTTTGTGTGGTGCACTGCCTATATCTGATGTGACTGATCTGGGAGGAATAATGAGTTTGTGTGGGTCTTGGTAAAAGCATATATATTGAGCTGGATTTAAGGGTTTGCTGGGTATCAAAGTACAGAATTTCTTTCCTTCACTAGTGCGTTTAAGTATATTGTAAGGATTTTGTTATCGGAAAATCTATGTTTACTACTACTACTACCACTAGTATTACACCTCATATCTAAGCCATATATACCCTCATTGTCCTTGTATGTATTGTAATGGCTTGAGAAAGCACCAGGAGAGCAAAATATGCCAACAATTAAAAATGTCACAAATAGTTTTTTCAATTTGTATCCTTTACTTAACATAATGTAGATGAATGGTTTCAGAGAAAACCGACATGTTGATAAATTAGACACATGTGCAACTCTTGGGTATCTTTATTGAGGAAACGTTTTGCCACACAGTGGCTTCATCAGTCTATACAAAGGAGAATCGTGAAGAACAGGAGGAGAATGAGGTAATCAGTCCCTCAACCTTGAGTCGATGTGGTTAGTCCATCAAGATTTAACATTTTCGCTACTTTGAGCTCAATTTCAAAGTACTTGTCATTGTGAAACCAATCAAAATCATCACTATTTCTGTAATATATCTTCCATTCTATCAAATGAGACCAGGAAATCAAGAATACAACCATAAATATTTTTTTTTATTATTAACACATCGGCCGATTCCCATCAAGACAGGGTGGCCCGAAAAAGAAAAACTTTCACAATCATTCACTCCATCACTGTCATGCCATTGGCTTTACACTGCAGTTATAAAATTGCAACATTAACACCCCTCCTTCAGAGTGTAGACACTGTACATGTACTTCCCATCTCCAGGACTCAAGTCCGGCCTGCCGGTTTCCCTGAATTTCTTCATAAATGTTACTTTGGTCGCACTCCAACAGCACATCAAGTATTAGAAACCATTTGTCTCCATTCACTCCTATCAAAAACGTTCATGCACGCTTGCTGGAAATCCAAGCCCCTTGCACACAAAACCTCCTTTACCCTCTCCCTCCGACCCTGGTCTGTAGTTGGACCCCTATCCCGCCATCCTTCCACTACAGATTTATACGCTCTCGAAGGTCTTTAGTTTTGTTCCATTTCTCCTACAATCTGAACCACCTCAACAACCACTCCTCAGGCCCTCTGGAAAATAGTTTTGGTAATCCCACACCTTCTCCTAATTCCAAACTACGAATTCTCTTCATAATATTCACGGACCACACATTAGCCTCAGACACGACATCTTCCAATGCCTCCAGCCGTTCTTATCACCCTGTTGCAACATTCATCACCCATTGCTTCACACCTATACAATAGTGTTGGTACAACTATACTCTCATACATTCCCCTCTTTGCTTCCATTGGACAAAGTTCTTTGTCTCTACAGACTCCTAATGCACCACTCACCCTTTTTCCCTCATCAATTCAGTGATTCATACCTCAACCTTCATAGACCCATCTGCTGACACGTCCACTCCTAAATATCCTGAATGCATTCACCTGCTCCAAGACTCTCATTCCCTCCAAGTCTTATTACCAATCTTTCGTCACTTAATCTTTCGATATCCTCATAACCTTACTCATTCCTATAATCACGTTTTAATTTCTTCTTTACATACCCTACTGAATTCATCCACCCACCTTTGTAACTTCTCTTCATGAATCTCCCGAAAGCACAGTGCCATCATCAAAGAGCAACTTGTGACAATTCCACTTGTTTTGATTCTTTATCCTTTTAACTCCACACCTTCTTGCCAAGACCCACGAATTCACTTCTCAGTTACAACCCCTCATCTATAAATATATTGAACAACCAGACGGTGACACACACATCTTTGTCCTAAGGCCTACTTTTACTGGAAAATAATCTCTCTTTCTCCTACATACTCTACCCTGTTCCTCACTATCTTTTAAAATCTCTTCACTGCTTCCAGTAACACTATCCCACCCTATCGAAAGCCTTTCCCAAAAATCCATAAATGCAGCAAAAACCGTCTTTAAAACCCTTATCAAAAAACTGTTCTCTATATGTTCACTGTAAACACCTGGTCTACACACCCCCTACCTTTTCCTTAAGCCAACCTTGTTATCTGCTGTCCTACTGCCCACTCACTCTTAATGCTTTCCACTAATACCTCTACATAATACTTTACCAGGTATACTCAACAGACCCAATGATTTCCCCTTATATTTTTTGCACTCTCGTTTATTCCCCTTTGCCTTTATACTAAGTGCCGAAGCAAAGCTCTCGATCCCAATCCCTATGTTACCTGGAGTTTACCTGGAGAGATTCCGGGGGACAACGCCCCACGGCGGTCTTTGACCAGGCGCTCCTCCTGTGGATCAGAGCCTGATCAACCACTGTTGCTGCTGGCTGCATGGCAAACCAACGTACGAGCCAACAGCCCGGCAGATCAGGAACTGACCTTTTAGGTGCTTGTTCCAGGCCAGCTTGAACACTTGCCGGGGGTCTGTTGGTATCCCCTTATGTGTGCTGGGAGTCATTTGAACAGTCTCGTCCCCTGCACTTGATTGATGGTCTCCTTAACGTGCAGTGGAACCGGCCTGCTTTTTCATTGGGTGGAAGGTGCATCGTCTAGCCAAGTCTTTTGCTTTCGTTGGAGTGGATTTCGTGTATTGCAAGTTCGTTACTGAGTTCCCTCTAGGAATTTTCCAGTTATATAATCATGTATCTCTCCTCCTGCTTTCCAGGGAAACAGGTTTAGGAAACCTCAAGCTCCCAATAATTGAGTGTTTTATCTCCGTTATGCGCGCCGTAAAGTTCTCTGTACATTTTCTAGGTCGGCAAATTTCACTCTGCCTTGAAAGGTTCTGTTATGTGCAGCAAATATTCCAAGCCAAGATTGAACAAGTTGACCTGAAAAGTGTCATCATGGCCTAGGGCCTCCCTATTTTGAAGGTTCTCATTAATCCTTCCTGTCATTTTTCCTAGCAGATGCGATTGATACAGAAGTTATTGTCCTGTGAAGGTGAGATCCTCCACATGATTCCTTACCCTCAGTCCATTACATTTATTAAATAATTAGCACTGACCACGTCCAAAACAATAACCCCACCTGCTTGTTATTAACATTTCTATCTTTATCCTCCATAAATACCAATCGAAAATACATCAAAAGTCACTGTTTTAAAACCAAAAACACAGTCCAGAGTTTTTTTTTTCTCTCATTATGTATTCTGGTGCATCAGGATATTTTTTTAAACAGTGCACACAGACCAGCAGACCCAGTTCTTTCATATGTAGGGCCTGCCAGCTTTCTTTCCACCAGATTTGAAGGCGCTAGAATTTACATGTATAAGAAACAAAATTTTTGGGGGAAAACCCCTGGGGGACCCTGTTTGCCAATGACATACAATATGTGACCGACTCCTCAGAGGGTTGAAGAACCAATGGGTGTACCACTAACTGTACCCTGGGTTAAAATCTCACTTGAGTTGTAACACACTAAAACAGTACCCTGGGTGAGAACCATTTGAATAAATACATGAGTGAAGATGGGTTGTATTTGAGTGGGACTGCAAATTTTTGTTGGTGGGATGGATTTGTGGAAGAGACTGCCAGGTATGGGCAACAGCTCCCTGCTGCAGTCTCCTTCATTCTCAATTCTTATCAACTGCACCCTGGGTTAAGTACCACCAGAGTGTAACACCCAACAGTGAACTAAGAAGTGTAATGTAACTTGCGATCTATCATTTCATATTGTAATTTTTTCTGCAGCCCTCCAGAATGCTTGGTATAGTTTAACATCAACACATTTATTCTCTAGTAGAAATAACGTCTTTTGGAGTGTGTATTATGGTGTATTTATTTTGAATGTCTGGTATGAGAGTTCAATTATTCAAATTGAACTGCAACTATCATACACAGTACATTAATCATGTTTAACTCTTAATGATGTAGGGCCATCTCTATGCATTATTTTATTATTATTATTATTATTATTATTATTAATATAATATTATATTATTATTATTATTATTATTATTATTATTATTATTAAAACAAGTAATAATCTCAGTAGTGCCACAACACAGCACTTGAAGATTACTTTATTGCTACCTTAGGGTAGTGGGCTTTCAATAAACCTAACTTTATTGTTCTTTATTCACAGAATGTAAATCTGCTGACTAGTTGAGGTTGCATTTTGTGTTTTGTTTCAGGTTCTTCTCGTCACTAGTGCTGGAGACTTGGACGTGGAACTATGGTCCAGAGAGGCACCCAAGGCATGCCGAAATTTTGTGCAGTTGTGTTTGGAAGGCTACTACAATGGCACAATTTTTCACCGAGTCATCCCTGGCTTCATTGTTCAGGGAGGTGATCCATCTGGAACTGGAGAGGGAGGAGAGTCCATATATGGCAAACCATTCCGAGTAAGTGTCTTAAAGTTGCCTCCATTCTTGGCATAGTTATCTGTTGTGCACTGCAGTGAAGGCTTCTTATTCATGCATGGATATCCTAATAAAATTGATTTCATAATATGGTAGGGCCCCGCTTTACGGCGTTTCGCTTTGCGGCATTCCGCTAATATGGTCATTTCAAATTATGACCAAAACTTTCTATATGGCTCCCCCCATCTGACTTTCTAATATGGTCACTGTGCCCCACCCGGTTTGTTTACATTCTGTGCAAGATCCGTAAGCATTATGTCTCTCCATTATGTCTGGAAACTCCAAAATTTCAAGTGCTTTTAAAAGTTATTTCATATTTTATATATACTCTGATAAATACCTGTATATACCCGTACCTAAATAAACTTACACACTGTGCTGGCGTACTGGTAAACATTAAAATCAGTAAGCATGTCTTATGCCTCGAGACATCATATTAGTAATGATAATGATCATCGAGTCTCATTAACCCTTAAACGGTCCAAACGTATATATACGTTCACTTGCGTAGCGCCCCAAATTTTTTAAGGAAAAAAAATCGTTTTTTTTTTATAGGAAAAAAGAGCATATGGTTTCCAGGCATCCCCAATTATTTTAATATGGCGCACAGTGAGTGCTCACACCCATTCTCTCATGTCTGGGTGACTCAGGGTTATCGTGGCAATGTTGAATGAATGACAAAGAAAACGTATATATACGTTTGGACCATTTAGGGGTTAAATGTCATATATTATGTTAATATACATATTTTTCATTAATCCATCTATGATAGTTTTTAACTTTCACCATCATTCACTGTCTTGCCAGAAGGGTGCTTTACACTACAATTTTTAAACTGCAACCATAACACCCCTCCTTCAGAGTGCAGGCACTGTACTTCCCATCTCCAGGACTCAAGTCCGGCCTGCCGGTTTCCCTGAATCCCTTCATAAATGTTACTTTGCTTACACTCCAACAGCACATCAAGTATTAAAAACCATTTGTCTCCATTCACTCCTATCAAACACGCTCAAGCATGCCCGCTGGAAGTCCAAGCCCCTCGCACACAAAACCTCCTTTACTCCCTCCCTCCAACCTTTCCTAGGCCGACCCCTACCCCGCCTTCCTTCCACTACAGACTGATACACTCTTGAAGTCATTCTGTTTTGCTCCATTCTCTCTACATGTCCGAACCACCTCAAAAACCCTTCCTCAGCCCTCTGGACAACAGTTTTGGCAATCCCGCACCTCCTCCTAACTTCCAAACTATGAATTCTCTGCATTATATTCACACCACACATTTCCCTCAGACATGACATCTCCACTGCCTCCAGCCTTCTCCTCGCTGCAACATTCATCACCCATGCTTCACACCCATATAAGAGCGTTGGTAAAACTATACTCTCATACATTCCCCTCTTTGCCTCCAAGGACAAAGTTCTTTGTCTCCACAGACTCCTAAGTGCACCCCTCACCCTTTTCCCCTCATCAATTCTATGATTCACCTCATCTTTCATAGACCCATCCGCTGACACGTCCACTCCCAAATATCTGAATACATTCACCTCCTCCATACTCTCTCCCTCCAATCTGATATCCAATCTTTCATCACCTAATCTTTTTGTTATCCTCATAACCTTACTCTTTCCTGTATTCACTTTCAATTTTCTTCTTTCACATACCCTACCAAATTCATCCACCAACCTCTGCAACTTCTCTTCAGAATCACCCAAGAGCACAGTGTCATCAGCAAAGAGCAACTGTGACAATGCCCACTTCATGTGTGATTCTTTATCTTTTAACTCCACACGTCTCGCCAAGACCCTCGCGTTTACTTCTCTTACAACCGCATCTATAAATACAGAGGACCCCCGGTTAAGGATATTTTTTCATTCCAGAAGTATGTTTAGGTGCCAGTACTGACCGAATTTGTTCCCATAAGGAATATTGTGAAGTAGATTAGTCCATTTCAGACCCCCAAACATACACCTACAAACGCACTTACATCAATACACTTATATAATTGGTCGCATTTGGAGGTGATCGTTAAGCGGGGATCCACTGTATATTGAACAACCACGGTGACATCACACGTCCTTGTCTAAGGCCTAGTTTTACTGGGAAATAATCTCCCTCTTTCCTACATACTCTAACTTGAGCCTCACTATCCTTGTAAAAACTCTTCACTGCTTTCAGTAACCTACCTCCTATACCATACATCTGCAACATCTGCCACATTGCCCCCCTAACCACCCTGTCATACTCCTTTTCCAAATCCATAAATGCCACAAAAACCTCCTTAGCCTTATCTAAATACTGTTCACTTATATGTTTCACTGTAAACACCTGGTCCACACACCCCCTACCTTTCCTAAAGCCTCCTTGTTCATCTGCTATCCTGTTCTCCGTCTTACTCTTAATTCTTTCAATAATAACTCTACCATACACTTTACCAGGTATACTCAACAGACTTATCCTCCTATAATTTTTGCACTCTCTTTTGTCCCCTTTGCCTTTATACAAAGGAACTATGCATGCTCTCTGCCAATCCCTAGGTACCTTACCCACTTCCATACATTTATTAAATAATAGCACCAACCACTCCAAAACTATATCCCCACCTGCTTTTAACATTTCTATCTTTATCCCATCAATCCCAGCTGCCTTACCTCCTTTCATTTTACCTACTGCCTCCCGAACTTCCCCCACACTCACAACTGGCTCTTCCTCACTCCTACAAGATGTCATTCCTCCTTTCCCTATACATGAAATCACAGCTTCCCTATCTTCATCAACATTCAACAATTCCTCAAAATATTCCCTCCATCTTCCCAATACCTCTATCTCTCCATTTAATAACTCTCCTCTCCTATTTTTAACTGACAAATCCATTTGTTCTCTAGGCTTCCTTAACTTGTTAATCTCACTCCAAAATTTTTTCTTATTTTCAACAAAATTTGTTGATAACAACTCACCCACTCTCTCATTTGCTCTCTTTTTACATTGCTTCACCACTCTCTTAACCTCTCTCTTTTTCTCCATATACTCTTCCCTCCTTGCATCACTTCTGCTTTGTAAAAACTTCTCATATGCTAACTTTTTCTCCCTTACTACTCTCTTTACATCATCATTCCACCAATTGCTCCTCTTCCCTCCCGCACCCACTTTCCTGGGAAATAATCTCATAAAGACCATATAAAGACCATAAATGCACCCCACAGTAGAATAAACAAACATAAATATGAGATGTGGTAGCCAGACGACTTGCACGAGTGACGCCATATTAGTAATAATAATAATAATAATAATAATAATAATCACCTAGTTTCATTAAATGTCGTATATTATGTTAATATACACATTTTCTTTAATCCATCTATGATTTTTTTTTCAAAATTCTATAATAAACACGATACATAACCTTTAAAGATGATAAATACACCCCACAGTAGAATAAATAAACATAAATATGAGATGTGGTAGCCAGACAACTTGTACAAGTGACGGCAAGAATAACACTTTCTCTAGTCCAACATTAGAGAAAATTTGTTACTGGGGGTAACTGTAGAAAATTATTCCTTTCGTATGTAAGTAAGTTTATTCAGGTATACACAAATACAGTTACATAGATTATCATTCATAGCAGCATATGTGTAAAGTACCTGGGATAACCCAAAAAAGTCAGAGAGTGACTTATTTCCATTGCCTTCACTCAGAGCATCATTTCTAAAAATGGTGTTACATGAGAATGGGCGTGTTCCTCTTTATTTATTCTACCATATCAGTGTAGAGACAACTTGTACACAATGTAAGTTGTACACAAACCAGGCGTGTACACCTGGTTTGTTTACAAATCTTACGTTTGCCTGGTTTGTTTACAAATCTTACGTTTGCCTGGTTTGTTTACAAATCTTACGTTTGCCTGGTTTGTTTACAAATCTTACGTTTGCCTGGTTTGTTTACAAATCTTACGTTTGCCTGGTTTGTTTACAAATCTACGTTTGCCTGGTTTGTTTACAAATCTTACGTTTGCCTGGTTTGTTTACAAATCTTACGTTTGCCTGGTTTGTTTACAAATCTTACGTTTGCCTGGTTTGTTTACAAATCTTACGTTTGCCTGGTTTGTTTACAAATCTTACGTTTGCCTGGTTTGTTTACAAATCTTACGTTTGCCTGGTTTGTTTACAAATCTCTCTCTCTCTCTCTCTCTCTCTCTCTCTCTCTCTCTCTCTCTCTCTCTCTCTCTCTCTCTCTCCCCTCTCTCTCATCTCTCTCTCTCTACTCTCTCTACTTCTATCTCTCTCTATCTCTCTCTATCTCTCTCTAATCTCTTCTTCTCTTCTCTCTCTATCTCTCTCTCTCTCTCTCTATCTCTCTCTCTCTCTCTCTTCTCTCTCTCTCTCTCTCTCTCTCTTCTCTCTTCCTCTCTCTCCCCCCTCTCTTTTCTCTCTCTCTCTCTCTCTCTCTCTTCTCTCTCTCTATCTCTCTCTATCTCCTCATCCTCCCCTATCTCTCCTATCTCTCTCTCCTCTCTCTCTCTCTCTTCTCTCTCTCTCTCTCTCTCTCTCTCTCTCCTCTCTCTCTCCTCTCTCTCTCTCCTCTCTCTCTTCTCTCTCATCTCTCTCTATCTCTCTCTATCTCCCTCTACTCTCTCCTCTCTCTCTCTCTCTCTCTCTCTCTCTCTCTCTCTCTCTTTCTCTCTCTTTCTCTTTCTCTCTCTTCCCCTCTCTTTCTCTCTGCATTTTATTGCTCTGGGTGCTTAAAGTCATGGAATCATGTGTGGGGGGGAAGGCCTGGTATGGAGCCCGGGCTGCCATACATCCACACTTGATTTCTTTCAAAAAATCTACAGTCTCCCCCCTAATTAAGAACAAATTTTTTAAGGTAATTTATGAGTGACTATAGGGTTTTTAGTTTTTTGTTTTTTTTTAATATTAGTTTATTGCAAACTTAATATATGTTAGTGTAAACAGTTATCTAGTATTTTTTGAATTTTTTTTTTT